ACGGTATCTGTTTTCCCTTTTGGGCCATATAGCAGCTTCAGTGTGGGCCAGAGTTCTGAATATGAAAAACAGAATAGGGAGAGGGTCAAACCCTGCCTTTCCCTGAAATGCTGTCCATGATTCAATTCAAGTGGGCCATACAGGGCTGCCATTTTCCCACTGGGGGATTCCCTGTCCCAGCTCTTGTTTCTCTTGCTTGGACTGGGGGTGGAATAAATAAAAAAGAAAATAGCTGTCAGTTTTAACATAGAGTTTCTGGCAAGAGGTGTAAGACCTCTTAAGGGTTTTCCCCAGAAGTGTCATCACCAGAGGTCGTTTCGGGGGGGAACGCGGGGGAATGCCATTTCCCGGGTGAGGCACGGGGGGTGGGGCCTGGAGCTCCCTGCTGGCGCCCACTGGAGGTCACCACCGGCTGTGGGGACGAGGCGGGGCGCGCTCCGTCGGGTGTGGATGAGTGAGCAGGTTTCCCAGCCGCCTCCTCCCGGATTCGCCTTTCCCGTCGCGCTCGCTGCTGCGCGAATGGAGCTGCCACTGGCGATGGTGGGTGAAGTGCTGGCTGGCTGGCTGGGCAAGGCGGGCGGGCAGCCAAGACTGGTGGTGGTGGCAGCGTCAGCGGGGCTCCGAGAAGGGTGACCTCTGCCTCCACGCCGCCTGGCCCCATCCCCCTGCCGAACCGGGGACCGGGCAGCAAGCCTGGAGACGCGTGCACCGGGCGAGCGAGAAACGTGCTCCACATTGCACAGCCGAGCGCCGGGAGAGGAGCGGCAAGGAAAACCCGGCCTGGAGTCCCGCCGCCGTTGGTCATTTCTCTCGCCTCCCCCTTTTCCAAACAGCACTGGGCGGCGGGGGAAGGGGGGGAGAGACCTGCACATTGCACGCAAATGCGGAGCAGGCGGAGAAGCCCCTTGCCGTTCTTTGGCGGTAGGGGGGGATGATGGGGGGGAGAGATGCTTTGTGTGTACAAAAGGTCTCCAAGCTCCCCCTACTGCGCCCCCTTTTAGCCCTGCTCCTGTGCTTTTAAAGCACCCCCCACCCCATCACTTTGTCGGAAAGAGCTGCTCCCAACCTCCTGATTAAAGCAGGGGAGCAGAGCCTGAGGCCAGCGGGCCAATAAGGTAGCCAGGTTTTTTTACCACCTCCTGCTCCCCCTGCTTTTCAACGTTATTTAAACCTGCGTGCTTTAGCAGGTATGGATGCTTAGCTCCATTCTTAAGCCTTATGCCAGTCTAAAAGCACTGGAGGAAGCCTGCCCCTGGTTATGCTACAACTGGTGGATTGGCATGAGTGCGGGAGAGGAGGTTTTTTGGGTTTTTTACCAGTTCAAGACTGGCTGGGGGATTAGAATCATAGAATCATAGAGTTGGAAGGGACCTCCAAGATCATCTAGTCCAACCCCCTGCTCAATGCAGGAAATTCACAAATAACCCCCCCAAAAAAAACACCCCCAGGGACCTCTATTCCATCCCCAGAGGTCAAAAAACCTCCA